TATAGTCATAAATCCTTTATTGCCACTTTTCAAAAATGTTTATTCTAATCTCTATACTCCTTTACATAATTCTCAGTCTTAAATTCTGATAGAAAACAAAACCATGGGGGTTTTAGTTATAGTTATATTACACTTATAACTTTATACTTAGTTTTCCATTTTTATAAAGTGTTAGCTATTCCCTTTTATTCAAGATTTCTGCCTCCATTACCTTTTAGTTTTGGGGTTTTTTTTTTCCTACAAAAGTCCTTCATGCTTCAATCTCCTCTGTGTTTGTGGAGGGTGGTCCCATGGCAACGACAGTTACCAGCTGGGCCTAATCAAGTTGGAAACCCAAGATGGCCTCCTAGCTCGCAGGCCAAGCACCTCAGTCTGGATTTTTCCCATGATTGCTCAGGGGTTTGAGAAGCAGAAGCAGTCCTCTTAATTAAGCTGAGGCTTACATCTGGCAGTCACCCCTGCCACACTACTGATCACATCAATGACCAGACAGCCAGGTTCTGGAACAGTCACTTCCCCCTGAGGAAGTAACCGATACACAAGGAAAGGTTATCATCTTGGAAGATGAATTGTCACATCTTTTTTGGTTGTATTGAATTGTAGTAAAATTTTCCTCATAAAAATGTTTTAAATTGGTGTTGCAATAATGATTTTTAGGTTTTTCTTTTATAATTTGTTTTAATTTTTCTTTTTTAAAGAGAAAAAAGTATAAGAAGCATCAGAAACTACAGAATTTCACTAAACAAAATGATAGAAATTCAACAATGGTTGTTATACTGCATATTGTCATTTTCAAATTAGTTGTTCAGATGACCAGATATGAGCATGCAAAATTAATCAAAAACAAAGAAAAAAGAAGAAAAAAATTAAGCATTAACTGTCCCTTTCAGTAGACCAGTAAAAATCAGCAGCACAAATTATGGAACCTATCCTTGTATCTGATTAGTGTTGATAGGAAGCAAAGATATTATTTTATTCATTTTAATTACTTCTTAGTTTAATATCTTGGTTCTTCTAAGTAGTCACATATCTGAAGATGATTTTCTTCCTCTCTCCTTTAATAGTTAAATTCCTTATTTCCATCCCATGTCTACTCCACTGGTAAGACTTCTAAAGCAAGGCTAATAGCAAGGAGGCTTGTTTTGTTTCTGTTGCACAATTCTTTTATTGTTGTTGGTTGTTCTGGTAATGCTGGTTATCAAACCCAAGGCTTCACACATTCTAAGCAACATAAACATTCTTCTGTATAAAGTACAAATATATTCCTATTATATATTGTACTTTTAAAAATCAACACAACTGTTCTCTGTAGGTAAATTACGCCACACTTCTATATTTGTCTACACGATACAAGTGAACAGACAGATGGCTTCTCATTCCAGATAAATTAGGCTTCAGGTAAAGGGTAATAAGCATGCTGAGGAATAAAGTGACTGGTAATTCTGGACACTGCGTTATTTTCCCAAAATCTGTAAATTTCCAAAATTAAATCACAACCATAAAATATTCTAGTGATTCTCACAGTTAATATGTCTAAATAAATATAAAATATCATAAATCTTAGCAATTTCTCCTTCCTTCCCAAGACTATTGAACCTGCATCTACCGAGTCATCTGAAGTACATAAATAAATAAATGTTGGAATATGGTTCTTGTACTCACACGTGGCTGATAATCATAGTGTGGGACATAGTCTTCCGAGTATGTTGTCAAATCATACCTAAAAGAGAAGTCAATATTTGAGAAAAACTCCAAAAAGAAAGGTATTTTAAATTTTTAGGGATATATACTTTATAGGAAATAACATCTCTGGAAGGACTGGTGCTAGTAAATGTTTAAATGCCACAACTGTCCCAGGCCATCATTATAGTTCTACCACCACCACGAGGCCACCCTTCCTCGGTTACGTCCACTGCAGCCCCATCTCCTGCTGCTTTGCACTAAAGACCTCTGGCCACCAAGGGCCAAGCCCTGAGCTCAGGTGCTCTGCATTCCATCAGTTCTCTCTGCCACCCTCCCTTGACTCTAAACCTCTTTGTCATGTCCTCTGCTGGGTGACAGCTGAAGAGATAACACAGTACAATTAGGTAGGCTGAGATCATGAAGAGTCCTCAGCCACCACCCCATGAAACCCACAGAAATGTTGCATTAAACCCTATGCACATGTACAAGCCTAGCCAAGCTCAAGAGGAAACCCTGAGGCTTTACAAAGGAAAAGGATGCTCATCACCATGGGAAACCCTAAAACTAAGGCCTCGAGCCTAGAGGTGGAGTTGTAAGTGCACGTCAAGAGTAAGTGGGGCTGGGGAGATGGCTCAGTGGAATAAGCACCTCCCTGGCAAGCGCAAGGGCCTGAGTTCAATCCCTGGTCCTGCCAAAAAAAAAAAAAAAACTAAAAAATAAATAAGAAGAGTAAGGAAGTGGCTTCGGGTTCACATAAGGTGAAGGCGAAAGTCCAGTTTACAATAAAGAATCAGCAAAGACTACCTTTAAGACCAGACAAAGCCCAACTACCAGCACAGAGAAGCTTTATTGACAATTTCTCTTTGTTTGGAACTTAGCATAAAACAAAAACTATTCTCCAGTGAGAAATGAAAACATTACTTCTGTTCCTGGCTATATTATAGGAATAGATAGATGGTCAGAGAAACCAACTAGAGTCCTTAGAAAATTCAACAAGATAATAACAAATATTATGTGCATGTCCAGTATAGACATAATATTTTCAATATTTCAAAAAATATTTTCAACTGTGATTGATTGAATCTCTGTATGTGAAACCTTTGGCTATGGAGGGCCAGCTGTACCCAGATCCTACTCTAAACCTACTGAATTGGAAAATCTGTGGATGGGCCACAAAACGCATAGTTTAACAATCTGCCCAGGTGATTCCAATGCACACTAGATTTTTATTTTTTTATTTTTTATTTTTTTTTAGGGCAGGGTCTACAGGGTGTTCAGGGTCTCACTACGTAGATCGGACTCACAGTGATTCTCCTGTTTTCAGTCTCCCAAGCCCTGGGATTACAGGCCGGTGCCCCCATGATCAGTCTCAATTGCCATCTTAGTGCGCCCTGGGGTGGGGGTATGGCAGGCCTGGGGATCGAACCCCCAGCCCCTGCGTCTGCCTAAGCAGGAGCTTTAATCCACTGAGCTATGTGCACACTAAATTTTGAGGGACAAAAATTAGAAATGTGATTTTCAAACCAGCAAATAAGGGGATGAGAAAAATTTGAGAGAGTTACCAATACAATAAGAAGGAAAATAAATTTAAAAGAACAGGGAAAATAATTTCTGATCATAAGATAAATTAGAATCATAAAATTAAATGTTTTAGTAATCACAATGAAAATACAAAGATTAGACTCATCAGTGAAACTATCTTCTCAGACAAAATATTAACATTGAGGTATATGTTTAAATGCCCAACCGTGTGCTTTACAAAAGATACACACTTTAAAAGTTTGAAAGTAATAATATACAAATAATATATAAACAGCAAATAGTAACCCAAAAAATCATGTCAGTAACAGATATAAGGGGCTTAGACAAAAACTACTATACATATTATTATTCACTTATTAAAGGAACAAGTCATGAAGAAGATATATAATCCTAAATTAATAATCTAACAAAATATGTAAGGCAGAAAGAATCCAAATCACAGAGACAAAATAACAAATCTACAATCACAGAGCAAGTGTAACACATTCCTTACTCTTGGCTTCCTTAAATGCAAATCTCTACATAGGTCTATTTTCCAAAACCACATAGATGAACAACAAAACACCACCTGCAAAGCATAATAACAATAAAAAAATCTATTGGTAAATAGTACTCACTTGTGCTTAATTCCATGCTACCAGGCAAAATTAATTTATCTTCCAAGAAATCAGAAGAGACAGAGACCCTCTACTCTAACCTTTACAAGGAAAATAATAAAATAATTACGAAACAACAGCTTTTTGTTCTAGTTCTGCGTACTTTAGCCTTCTCTATGTATGGAAACAAACATCGCTGCTCAGCGCATCAGAACACTCATTTTATTTTATAGGATGAGATGCTGCCCAATTCTTAAGTACAAACAAAAGCCAATTTGAATCTTCAAATTGCTGTCATGTTGTCCTTCGACATCACAGTCCTTGGTTTACGTGGCAGTAAGTAGAACAGGCCAGTCTGCAGAGCCAGATCAATGGCCACGCTGGAGCTGAAGAAGGCAAAGGTGTTGTGGAAGAGAGGAAAAGGTCGCAGGTACTTAGAAGGGGTAGGACACAGAGAACGCCGGCTCCAGGAGACAGCATCCTCCCCCGAGAGGGGTAGGGCACACCTGAGAACAGGCTTAAGGTTAGAGCATGGGAGCCTTGGTTTTCCAAGTACGAAAGTCCAGAACAGCGGTCTTGGGAAGGCAGTGCCTCTGGGAAAGAGGAGGGCAACTAGGAAGACAAACAAAAGCAAAAGGCCAAACATCAGAAATGAAGGATCATACAATTATAAGATGTCACATGATCAGTAGGCCTTCCCCCCACTTGCCACCACCCAACAGGCAACATTAATAAAATTTCAGTATCCTAACAGTAGAGGGCACTCTTGAACTGAAATGTGGAACACACTTCCCAAACTCATTTCCCTGAGGTAGAATTAACCTAGAATTATCTACCTGGTGGAGGAAAGACACATATTTCATAAGCAAAACAGGGTAACATTACTATGAGAAGAACACAGTAAATGAAAAACAAAATTAGTTCATAAAAATTTTCTCCGGAAATACTCCCAACCAAGAAGACTTGAATCAGCCTTTTGAAAAAAATATACTGCAGATCCTAGAAAATGCAATTTAAAAGAAGAAAATTAAGTATAATATTAGAATAGAGTAAGAAACATTTTCCTCTTCCACAGCTGAAAAGATTTCCTAAATTTTTAAAATCCAATAAATTATAACAAAAGCTAGTTCAACAAGGTTGTTGGATACAAGATCATTACACAAAATGGCAATAAGAAATTGGAACATGTCTCTTTTTTTTTCTCTCTCTCTCTCCTTTCTGGGAGAAACTGGCAAAGAAAAGCTCCCTAGGGACTACAAGAACATGGGTCTGGGCTTCAAGACCCCCAGAGAGGCCATCGAGGGCGCCTATACTGATGAGAAATGCCCCTCTACTGGTAACATCTCCATCCGGGGGTGGATCCTGTCTGGCGTGGTGACCAAGAGGACCATCTAAGAGACTATCTCCACTACATCCGCAAATACAATCGCTTTGAGAAGCGCCACAAGAACATGTCGGTGCACCTGTCCCCCTGCTTCAGGGAAGTCCAGATCGGCGACATCACCACAGTGAACGAGGGCAGGCCCCTGAGCAAGACAATGCACTCCAACATGCTTACGGTCACCAAGGCCACCGGCACCAAGGGGCACTGCCAGAAGGTCTAACGTCACTTGACCACCCTCCAAAGGGAATAAAGTTATTCTGACTCTTGAAAAAAAAAAAAAAGAAAGAAAGAAGGAAAAAAAGGAAATTGGAACATGTAATTAAAGTGGAAAGTTTTATTTATCATTATAACAATATGTCTAAGCTTCCTGTGAGAATACATACTAAAGATATGCAAGATATTTACTTATAAAATGATATTTTGTTGGACATAGAAGAATTACTTTATAAATGAGATGGTTCAATACGATGCTAGGGATTATTTTCATCTAGTAAATTTAACTTACTGCAAATCCAAGCACAAACAATGTATTTTATGGAACGTGACAAGCAATCCTAACAGTTATATGACTCCATGCAATGAGAGGAGCGATAACTCAGAGAAAGAACAAAATAGTTAAACTTATGCTACTAGATGTCAAGGTTTAACACAAAGCCAGAGTATTGAACACAAAGTATCAGTCTAGATACATCACTCTATATATTTGCTCTATATCCAGCAAAATAGGATATAGAGCTCAGAAATAAATCTACTTAAGTGCAGGAATTTGATATGGCATGAAAATAGCTTTATAAATTTGTTGGGAAATATTAGTTGGATCAAATGGTGCTGATTTACTAGTCTAATAAAACTATTACACGCATGCATATATTATATATGTTATACAAATGTATAAAACTTCTAAAAGGTTTAAATTTTACATTTCATATATGGGCCTAGATTACAATTTAAAACTTCTCTTTATCAAAAGGTACAGTAAGCATTCACCGAGAAAAGTCATAAGATTAGAAGAAGATACTCATTGTGCTCTTAACCAAAACATATTTAGTATCCATAATCAATTCATTCAAATGCCTACAAATCTCTAAGAGATCAAATCCCAATAGAAAACTGGACAGATTATAAACAGTCAATTCACAGTTGAAGAACCAGAATGACTAAGTAATATTTGAAAACAAATTCAGTCTTAAAATTCACGTGCAAATCCAGTAATTTATGACATGTAAAACAGAACAGTAAAGACGTGTCAGTCCACGTCCATTAGGTTGGTCACTTTAATCCCAATTTTATGAAGACAGTAAGGAATGTGTTGGTCATACACTATTAGGAGCAATATCTTGCCAGGCTGAAGGTGAACATCATAGGTCTTAATGCCCAGCGTTAATGTCCACCTAGGGAAGGAGGTGTCATGGCTCATGAATCAATCTATTTCTGGAAGCAGAGCTGCAGTACATTGATGACCATGCGCCACCTGGATTCACTGGCCGCCCAGAATGACTAATTAGTGTGTCTGGA